CAGCAGCAACGTGCTCCCTATCTACACACGCACAGTCACTCATCGAGAGACATGGCCCACATGTCCCAAACAGATCGGAGAAAACAGCCAAGGGGGCCACAGCAGACTGATTGAAGCTGCCAGCTCTAATGCGTTGAAATGTTGTCATTCCTCTTGCAGGTTGTTAACAAGGAGGCACAGGGGACTTCTCTGCACAGCATCTTCTCCGCTACATTTGGGGCATGGAAGGAGATGAAGCTTCTGTGCTATAAGAGAAAGGAGGGCCCAAGGTAATGCTGAGGGACTCCCTTGTCCAGAAAGCAACCTATGATGGGGAGGTGACAACATGTAGGGTATTTCTTATGGACACATGAAAAGAGCGAGGCCTGCAAAACAGATGAAAACACTCAAGGACAAAGCAGCCTTGTTCTGACAACCTCTGGCACTAGCGCAAGAGACAAAGGGAATTGCCCGGACACAGATAACCAGGTAGGAAGGGACAGGAGCTCTTTGCTAGAAGCACCTTATAAAGGGGGGTCAGATGCCTGGAGTCAAGTCTTTGCTTCTTTACAAGGCTTCTTTCTCCTTAGAATGGCTTCTTCTTTGTATTTTGTATTCTCTTTCCCAAACCAAAATCACTATTTTTGGTCTCTGAGTTTTCCAGATGGTTTCTATTCCTTGTCTGTAAAATGCTGGAGGTGGCCAGGCAGCTCTGAGTTACTGGCAGAACAGAACTTCCCTCTGTGTGTCAGCTACAGGTAAACAAAGTTTGGGAACTCCAGAAACACCTGTGGAGCCACAGGCAGGAGGGCAGATGAAAATAATTTCAGATAACAGTGGGAAATCTGTATTGGCATCTGCAAGCTTGGCACCAAGAGGTAAACTCAAGTTTTTGAAGATGTAAGAAAAGAGAGGTAAGAATCAGTCATCCCCCCGTCCCACTCCTGTTCTTTTCCAAGCTAGTTTCACTTTGAAGAAAGTGAGATGGCCAGGAAACCTACTTTTCCAAAAAATGATGCTAGCAGCCAAGGTGGCGTTTCAATGAAGGACTTATAAGAAGTCTCTGTCTTCCAGCTCTTTTTAATCCTTCCCTTTCCCATTGCAGAACCTTCTCTCAGAGATCATTATTAAAACGAACAACAACAACAAACCGGCCTTTATCAGTTCTTGTGAATTCTGAAGGTCACCAATGTCACCATCAGTTATAAAGACACACATCACTCCCCTCTTCACACAAATGGATTTAGAAGCTGTTTAAAGGCTAGTGTCTCTTGGTGCACTTCAACCCTTCTGCTCTGTCCTCTCCACACACACATGCTCTCCTCCAGCAGCAGCTGCTGTAAGAAATTATGAATTCCACTATTTTTCATCCAGAACAGCTTTGCAGTATATGGGAGAAGCACAGGATGCTGCAGGCTCATTAGCACAGGATTTGTATGGCCACCTTCCATTTTATTCACCTTCCCAATTTAGGTGAAGCACACCTGCCCCAAACCTGTGATTTCTGTTTAATTAAAATGCAGGTAGTGGAGTCTCCTGAACTCCAGAGCCTACCACACAATCAGATAGTGACAGCGACCTAGTAGAATAATGCTCTTGATATAGTGGCTGCTCTAACAGAGTCTTAATTTCAGTTGAGCAGAACAGCACCTCTGGTAGCAGCTGCATTTAGGGCTGGGATGAATATCAGTACCCAGCCTCTCGCGGAACACTCACTGCCTTCCCAATCAAAGCCAGCATCCCTGACAGCTGAACTGTTAAATGAATTAACAAGGCGAGAAGGGGGCTTGCCGACAGGCCTGCGACTCCCTTCCTAATTTCTGCAAGTGGCAGCTTTCAATTTTTCTGTCATTTGTCGGGAGATGCACATGGTTCTCTAAGGAGCAGGGCAGAGCTGCAGCCAGCTCTAAAAAGTCAATGTGATGAGGATTTTCTGGTCCACCGAGGAGAGGGATCCAGGTGCTTGAGGCAGGTGGGGGAAGGACACAGGCTCTGTTCAGACTGAACAGGCATCGATCTTTCCTGGCTGCACTGAGCATAGGGACTCTCAGCCCGCACTCCTGACATGGGGAAGAATTGCTCTCCACTCCTGTGAGTTTTGCAAACATTCAGGTAGAGCTCAAAATGGAGCATTTGCTGGAGCTTTGGTCTTATGGGCTACTGTAACAAGAAAAAGATTTTGCTCCACCTGTAGCAAAAATAAAAAACCCAAAACGCTTGCATCCAGCTCCCTTCTTCACCAGGCAAGTCGGGATACAGAGGACTGCTACTCATGTCTGGCCCGTTGCCTACCAGCAGGTTGTTCCCCCCCCAAACTTCCCCCTGCCCATCAGCCAGAGGCAAGTGAGACCCGAGCGCTCTGGCTGCCTGTGGAGGCTGTCAGCTGGGGTGCAGCTCAACAGCACTCCAGGGCTTGAAGAGAAACTCCCCATTCGGGTGCTTTTTACTTGTTTGATTGGCAAAACTGCCAGAAGGTTGGTTTTAATGGCTTCCCCCCCCCCCCCTCCTTTGCCTACTAGAGTTTTTATTGTAAAAATCCAGATACAATGATAGGAAAAAAAATCTTCAAATCTAACAAGGAAGAGTGCAAGAGGGCAGGAAGGAATTACAAACACTCCTCTTTGCATTGCTCATCTGGCTGCACCAGACATAGAAGCTGAACAGCACATCAACTGTCAGTTTTATTTCCAGGTGCCCCACGCTGTATGAAACACCCACCAGAACTGCACAGAATTGGGTATTTTGACTTAGCTGGCCTAAACCCAGCACGTTTTCCCCAAGATGCATGCTGTATATTCCTTTTTACAACCGAAAGAGGAATGTTCTTGCACCAACCAGAATTACTGCAGCCCTTACTGCAGAATGAAGCACCGTTTAACAGTACTGAAATGTAAGTTATCTGGGGCCTTCAGACCGGGGACTGGTCCCCTTCAGTCATTTTGTGTTCAGTGCTATGCCTGTGCTGTCAGCACTTCTTGTTTATTGGGAAGGTTTTTCTCTATTTTAAACATGGATGCCCTATTGCTGAAGCTAAGCAGACCCATTTTTTCCAGGTTGCTGCTTAACAGCCTTTATCGTGGGTAAGAACATCAAGCAAACAACAACAACAAAAACTTGTATTTCCACAGCACACTTTAACTCAAAGGTGTCACAAATCAATTTAAAACTTAAATTGCAATACCAGCTCCAATCACTTTACTCACAGTATAAATCACAGCCAGTTCTGGAGGTGGAAGAGGCAGTTATATAACAAAGCATAATAACTTCACACAACAAGAGTGAAAATCGCCAGGAAGATCCTACATTCATCATTTCTACCGCATGAACCTGGACTGTCCCTAACCAGAGGAAAATCCAGTATCTCTAAAAAAACATCTGAGTCACGCTACAACTTCAGATGTACCAACCCTGCCTGTGAAAGAAAGCCTCCTGGATATCTCAGTTTCTTCCCAAGTTTTGGTCCTTCCATTGTGCTGTGTTCCCTGTCTGAACTATGATAATGAAGACCTGGACCACAGGATTAAAACTCACAATATAACAGCATTTCCTCATTTTCCCCAGCTGATTTTCTGTGCTGTATACATGTGTACAAATGCATGTGCTGGCTCTGTTTGCAGCAGTGAGATATTTAGCTCTGAAACAAAAATGTACTTTGAAGCCAGATACAGTTGGCTCCACTTGGGGCTTTCTTTGCTGCAGTTGCAGAAGTAAGTTGGAGCAGCAGCAAACTAGAAAAAAAAAAAAAAAGTAAATATTGCCAGCTGTCTCTCCAGAACAATGCTGCTCTGATTAATTTATGATGTTTTCAGAAAAAGATAGTGAATGTTACACCACATTTGAAATGAAAAGGTTAAGTAGAATTTAAAAAAAAAATGTGCAGTAGCATTTAAAAAAAAAGTACTTTGCTTAGTTTTGAGCAATAGAATATTTAATGAATAATAATAAAATGAATTAGTACTGGGTTTGATAGCTTCTACATCCTAGCCTTGAGACAGAAGAACAAAAGTGTAATCAGATTCGTTCATGGCGGCAGACTGAACAATAGGAGGGTGCGTGTTGCCTATTCTTGTTCAAAGCTTCAGAAGATGCTGCTGCAGAAATTGATACCATAACTAACAACTATTTCGGCGCCAGCCTCTCTCTAGCTGGGGTCACCATAAATACGGCACCACTGTCGTGGCTGTGAGAAAGACATCAGCTATTCCAGTCCTGTGCTTCTCAGCTAGAGTTACGGAGAACAACAGATTCGGTTGTGGGTTATCTGGGCTCTGCAAAATCACAAAGCATTCAAAGAAGTGTCTAGTTAACTGTCTCGTCCTGATTTCTGCTTCTGGCCTTCCAATGGAGGGATTTCAAAATGATCAGCTAGTTACATTTCATAAATACAGCCTGGATTCATGCACTAGATCCATAATAAGTAAAGGCATGAGTAGTGCCACTGACCCTCAGCTGTAGAGGCTGGATGCAGCTGCAGAGTCGGCATATTCCTGAGAGTAATCATCATCTGTGCTTCCAAAGCTAGCATTATACTAGACACAGTGTCTTCTTGACTTCAAGAGCATAAAAATACAGCAAAGCGTGGTGCACAGGCAACGTCTCTACACAGAGAGCTATAAAATAAAAAGAACCAGCTTTCCAAGTCTCCCTTGTTTTGTAGTTTTGTTTCTTTTCCCTTGTGGCTTTCCTGTGCTCCACTTTTCACTTCTTTAACTTGAGTCAATTTTTCCCTCAAGCTAATTTGGTATGAACAGTCATCCTCCTGCAACTCCAAAAATATTTTCTCTTCATTCTCTCAGATGCCCTTTCTTCCCTTATTGGTGTAGACCAACTGGTTTTCAAAGCAAGAAACAATCAGTGCCAAACCATTACAGGAGAGGGCGCTACAAAAAACTGTTAGTGATCATGACCGGGTAGTTTTTTATTTCATCTCTTTCCTGGACAAATATTACATACTACCTGGAGAATATTAAAACATGCTGGTACTTTAAAAACCCAGATCAACTAATCTTCCTTTTACTTACCTGCTTCACCCACAAACACTTCCACTGGTGTACTGGTAGGGCTCTCACCGATTACATTATATGCTGTCATTAGTACTTCATATCTCTTGTATTTCTTCAGCTCTGAAAAAGTAAAATATTATATTATATACTATTATTTATACTATATTACAGATACTTTTTAGATGCCATCACCTCTTTATCACCGTACTTCTCTCGGGTGAAACTTAGCATTAGAACAGTCCAATAGTGCAATGCCTACTTCCACCCTTCCTTAATTCATACATCATAGCAGGCTTTGCATAATTGTGAAAGATCTTTGCAAAGAAATGGACAGAATTTTCCAGTGTTTCCTCACGGTGTTGCTCCAGTAAGAGGAATCATTCCTGATGGGTAACTACCTACAGCAACATCTCTAGGTCATTCTTAAGGACAGAAAAAGGCAGGATTTTGCTTGGAATGTTCAATATATGGGCTCCTTTTGATCTCTACTGGTGGGAAAGAACACGGCTCCAAGCCTTTGCCTAACCCCAGTGACTTTCATCTAGGGAGTCATGTAGCAACTGCACTGCTCAAGAATGTCACAGCTGAAGTAGGTAGGGTGCAGAAGATGGGGAATCTGGAGTCCCATTCAAAGAACTGCATGGCAATCTTTCTCCTTCAAAGGGAGACCACAGTCTGAACATCAATAACAGAGAGAAAAGAGAATTTGAAATCTGGACTCCATTTGGCCACCAGGCAACCGAAACTTTTGCTGACTTCTAGAAACTACTCTGACAGATGAGGTAGGAAAGTGAGAACAGCATGAAAAATATCTAGAAAACCCAACTGTATGAGGGTAATTAGCAGCTGCAAACGAGGGTGGAGTAGAATCATGTCAACATCATTAGGGGGGGCAGCGCCTGAGCAGTTTCAGATTTTGCATTTTCAGGATGAAAGAATCAAACCTAACAGAAATATTTATCATCAACAGTATTTAGTAGTGAAATTAGAGTAAGAGAGCAATCAATAATATAAATTGCCCCATTTAAATGAGCACTGAATTAAGACACGCATGGCCAGGGGTCCAAATTTCTTCCTTTGCCAATGATTTTCTCTGCTATCTATGAACTGGACACTCCCCTTATCTCCGTGGCTGACAGTACGCCATCAGTTTGGTAAGGTTCAATAAGCCTAATCATACAGGTTCGTCTAATTTCAGTTTCATGGAAGTGTTTACAAGAGTCATGCTCCTATATCTAACTCAGTGTCCAGCATCATTACCCAGTCTCAGGCATACTGTAAATGATATCTGATACATCACTAATTTTTTTATGTGATACCACTAAACTCAGATGGACTGTAAAACATGTAGCAAGCAAATCAGCAATAATGATGCTAAGTTTGTAAACAAACAAACAAAAAACTAGTAAGATATATAGGATATAGTACTGGGCAGCTTGTACAGGGAAACTTTAATTGTTGCTATGAAAAGCCACAAGGGAGATTTTAGTGTTAACTGGATGTGGAAGGAAATGGAACACAAGAGAGTTCATGCATGCAAGTTTCACTGGGGATAGGGCTTCATATATTTTTTTTTTTTTTAGCCCATCACAATCTGTGACTCAAAAGCCTTGGGCAAAACCTATCTAGTGAACCATTATCACCACAAAGCAACTTGCCTTTTAACTCTGTCGAATGCTATTTTATTCATTTCCAATTGAAAACACCTCTGGAGATGCACATAAATTCATTGGGCCCTCTCTAAACTGGCCTCCTACTCCATGGAATGCGAGAGCATCGCAATGCTTGAATCATAGGACTAATGATGTGATACAGCTAAACTCAGATGGACTGCAAAATATGTAGCAAGCGAATCAAAATTCATTTAGCATCAGCAATACTGGGTTGTTACAGTCAATAATGTTTTACCTTCCCAGCAGCCACATTTTTACAACAGCTACCTACTTGCATCATCAATGTCTCTTGATGTAGGGAAAGCAAAGGCTTAAAGAAAAAGAAACTCAAGAAAGCAGAATCATTAATCTGTGTTGATTTCTGCTAGATCCACCGAGGAGAACCATAGGAGTTTGCCTATAGTGTATTTTGAGCCATTATAAAGAGTCTCATCTAAAGGCAATGTGCACTTACGTGTTAATTCATACGTCGTTAATGCAGAGCTGCTGTTCACTGTCTTGAAGCTGCTTTGGGCTATTCAGGGTAAGCAAAGCAGAAAGCTTGTTACAGTGCAAGGAAATAGTTATTGCAAATGATGTACAGCAGAGACAGAGGCAAATGATGCAGCACACACACACAGAGTGAGCTTTAGGACTATACCTTGAAGGGCAATAAAATCACATCACTCTCTTGTAACACATCAAAAGCATCTCACTCACACGGGGCTGTTTCATTTCCTCCTCAAACAGAGAATCTTACAAATATACAACACAGAAATGTTCTGACTCCTAGATTAAATAGAGCAAATGAGTAAAAATTAAACAATTTGTAGGGGGGGAAACTCAGCACTGTATTACATCCTTATTTCTCAACATGCAAAATTCAAAACCTGAAGAGCTGCAGGGTAAAGCCCTGGAACATGGGCCACAAAGAGCGAACACTTACAATAGGACAGGACACGTTTCTTTAAATGTGTGTTAGATTTCCCACAGTTTCACTTACAGAATTCAATATTCCTGCTGTGAGTGAATTGTAATAATATGCTAAGCTGTGCAAAACTGCAGGTCAGTGAGGAACAAAGGTGCTCTAAGGTGAGAATTGTCACATTATGAGGAGAAAGAAGGAAATTTCTCTTAAAATACACTTAACTCCACCCCTTTCTCTCTTGACTCCCTGGAGAGGTACACAGTATGTTTTTTTTCTACTCTGCAGCTATTGGGAACATAGCTGCAGGGCCAGCCAAGAAGAGGGAAGATGGGAAAGCGGTAAGTTTCAATGACTCCATGGCTTGTGAGACTAGAGAGCATCCAGAGGCATTATTTCATGATAATATACATAGTCATTAAGCTTTTGTCTGGAAAAAAACCCTTACGCATACCTACACCTATAGGAGCTTTCCATCTCTACTTTGTCCTGGTTAAAACTCTGTAAAGGCTGAAAAGTCTCATTCATTGCTGACCTTATAAGCAAGGTCAGTTATGTCCTTATGTTACTTTTAAAGCATCTACTTTTACTGCACCCCCTCAAAATTCACTCCTGCTTTTGTAGAAACCACTTTCACGGGCTCAGGGAAACATGGAAGTGATGTAAGATATTAAAATAGTCTCAGTCAACCCTATTCTGCTGCTCTTAAAGTGAGTATTATCTTATTCTGATTATTCCGCTGACATCAAACAGGACAAAAGCTGGTCCCTCCACGAGCAGGTCTCATTGCTGGACCATACCTGTCAGGCTACTGAGTGCTCACATCTTTGCCTCCCATCATCTTATTCTGCCTATTCTTCCCTCTGATGTCCTTTCTAGCCTTTGTCTAAAAATCCTTTCATTTTTCTATTATTCCTCTACCTCTCCACCTTCTTTCCATGAGCCAAAAATCCCAGTGACTAACATGGCAAGATACGCCTTAAAATTCTTGCTCATTTTTGCTATTTTCTTCCAAAATAGGAAGAAACACTCTGAAATTATAAAAATTCTATTTAAAACTTTTCCTCGGCTGTTTTCTTATACTGCAAAAAGAAAAACAAAATGTCAGTTATAAAAACTATTAAAAATAGCAAGAAAGAAAAAGGTTCTGAGCCAAGGAAAATGAAGTCTCTCTCTTTTTTTTTGTCTGATGGCTGAGCAAAGTATACTGGGGCAATCATGAAATGGAGGTAGCAGAATGCAGGAAATCAGAGAATACATGGGGGACAGAACATCAACTCAAGCATGCTGGCATAGATTACCATGAACCCTTACAAGTGATGCTGATCAGACACAAGTTACTAGCATTTTTCAGCATCTACACCCTGATTGTGTGAAAGCTAAATTATCCCCAGCACTCTTAGACACAATTGTGTCTTATTTCCATGGGATAAGAGGGTCTAGAGTGTCTTGTATAACAACAAATTACCATTCTGGGATATTATAGGGTTCAAAACACAGGCTTACGTGTGAGCTCTGCTCTTAAAGCTGAAGGGTTCTGTACGGTTTTGGATTCTGTTCCAGATCCAGTGTCGTAATCCAGCTCTCGATAGTAGATCCGATATCCCAACAGCAAGCCATTTAGACTCTCAGCTTTGGGTGGCTGAAAAACATTCACACAAAGAACAGGCTTGTTAAGATGTGCATTGCCACAAACATCCATCACAATAGGCAGTAGCTGACACTGGTCCTGTGAGAAGGGACACTGCGCTCTGGTGAAAATAACCATTAGTAATATACAGGGTCAAAGTCTGTGTGATTTGAAAAAAACAAGTTAAAGGTAACTTTGATGATGGCTTTGCCACTCAGCTGTGGCAATTACAGAAGGATCTTTACTTAAAAATTAATACCTGATGCACTACACTAAGAGCTAAGCTCCTTTCCTTCTTGGTTCACAGAAACTTATGTGTGTTAAAGATCATAAATAAGCATGTCCCTGAAAATGCATGTTGCTGGCCACCAACAGTGGAACAGCAAGCCAGTATTTCACTTCTTCAGAGATGAAAAGAAAGAAATTATTTTGTTGAAGACAGAATTTCTTTAGTGGCTATTTTCCTTGGGGACTAGTCATAGACCATTCTTCATTTAGTATTATTTTACTGAAAGACTGATGAGAAAATAACAAAGAATTGATGTATTCTGGCTTTAATTAGGAAGATGAAAATAGGTGTAATAGCCTCAGAGAAGCATTTACAGAGGAGTTGCAGTATGATGGACTCTGGTGTGTTGCATAAGTCCAATCCTACAGGCAAACCCAGGTGTCCTCCATAACAGGTTGGAGTATGGCCATTGGGCGGGATCAGAGATGAGGTTTTTTTCCTTCTGACACATGCTGGAAGATGCTTGAAGACATAGTACCTCAGCAAGGATTCTTCAGCAGCCCCTCACATCTTCCTTCAGATAAAGATATACAACCAGTACACTGAAAAGGAGATTTTTGTCTGAACGGCTTGCTTAAATAGAGGCAAGCAAAGGGATTCTTCGTGTTTGGGAAAAAAATTACTCTCATGAGTCTAATACAGGCTAAGAACTGCAGAGAAGAAAAGATGCCCTGAGCCATTTATCTTCTAAAGATTCTTGTACTGAAATTTAAGGGGCTGAAAGTATAAATGAAAAGGATTTTAATGATGATCTTGCCTTTAATCCAGAAAGATCCCTAGCAGTCTTGAGAACTTTACTAAGGAAAACCTTCTGTCCGTTGTGGAAAAATTAACCTGTGGTGTGAAACGCTGTCACAATGGAAATTAATATCACATGTAATTATAATGAAGAAATATTATTTTTACAGGAAAGGAGGAAGACATTTGGTAATAACCTAACATTCTACTTCCATAAATGACAAGAATTTTCCATTACTTCATTATGATGGCAAGAGGAGAGAGAGGGCTCTCTTGTCTCAGTGCAAAGGACTTTGCTTTGGGTGAGGGCTGAAGAAATTAAGTAGAAAGATCACAGTTTATGGAAACCAAAAAAGAAAATTATGTGAACCAGAGAATAAGAATGCTACACAGCTACCAGGAAAAGCAGCAGAAACTTCTGCAAGAAGCTGCCTTCTTTTGCAGTTGTCTTGCCCAGAGCCTGCTGAAAGCAATCAAATAGACCCAAGATCTTGCATTACTTGCATTATGGTTTCATCACTCGCCATTGTTTCATAATCCATCATGCTCCATCCTCTGGAGAAGCTCTGACCACTTTTCACTATTATTTAGCATCTGCATTGCAGAATGATCTAGGAATAGAGGATTGTGATGGACCTCAAGAATCATCAGGACTAGGCCCTCAAGACTGCAGAAAGTCAGCTTCTTAAAGTCCTTTTCATAAACAGAGCAACCTCCACCAAAAAAGAAGCTGATTTTTCTGCTTCCCAGTATTCCTACCAGAAAGCGTTCCAAGCCTCGCTACTTGGGCGGTTAGAAACCTTCATCTAATTTCTACTCTAAATTATTCATAGCTAGTTTATAACCATTTGTTCCTGTGCTAACATTGCCTTTTGGGTTAAATTTTTCTTCTCCCCATGGGTGTTTACTCCTGTGATGTATTTTAAAAAGGGCAATCATATTCCTTCTCAGATTCCATTTTACAAGGCAAATAAATCAACCTCTTGAACAACAGCCTTTCCTAGTCTCAGATCGAGCCCCTGGTCCAAGGGGCTGAGCAAACAGACCAAACAAAGTGACAGCCTTTTCCAGGGCTGCCTGATGACATGATCGCTCACGGGCCAGCTGAAACGTTCTTCTCTTCAAGGTGGAAAAGATGAGATATGGTTTACTGGCAATTACTAGTATGTCTATTATGATCTTTTTTTTTTTTTTCCCCTTTTCCAATATCCTGATTTTCCTCTTTTGTTTTCCGTATGATACTGAAGTTGCTTTAGCTCTGATTGTGCCCTAGCAGACAAGGGCATGTGATGGCATGGCAGTATCCTTGCCTCACTCTGTCCTGGCAGGAAGGAGTCACAATGCAAAGCATGAGGGCTGCCTCCCCCAGAGACAGGGTAAAGGGAGGCACTGTCCCACCAAGATACATCTTGAGTGCATCAGCATGCAAGAGGAGAGAGGCTGCAAGAAAACAAAGCCTATCCAGCATGGAAATAAACTTCACACCATGAAAAAAGAAATACTGTGAACATTACATGGATTTGTATTTCAGTTAATTATTACCTAGAAGAAAGGTTCTCTTGGAAAGATTCAATGTGTTTTCCTATTTTAACTATTAATACATAAAAAAAAAAAAAAGTTTAGCTGGAATATCCTACAGAATCTTAAAAGGAAAAAACACTGCTGAAGCTGAGAAAGAGACTGTTACTCCCTGCTCTGTCACGTAACTGCCTACCAGATAAAGCTTATTTCCTCATTGGGGTACAACACTGATTTGTTGATAGCAAGCATTGTTTTCTTATGCTTTCATGTGATTCTCCATTTTTTCCTTCCTTTAAATTTATGACAGGAAAGCTCAGAAAATAAATGACTTGAAAACTGTCTTTCTCCTTGCCATGGAAATGATGATTCTTTCCTGAAAAGGGTACTCTGCTAAAAGGTCAGGTCTTCCCCTTCCTATCTGTCTTTCATGGACAAAACTCTGCTTTTGATGTAGTGGATTATTTAGGATTTTGTAGAAAGGCCTGAGGGATCTGCTGAAATAGGTAAAATGATTATGAGTGGCAGCCTGTAATGTTGTATAGAAGTAAGAGAAACATTTTTGTGCTGTTTAAAAATAAAAATTAAAAAAAGACTAAAAGGTAAGTTTGAATAATTGTTATCTCTAAGATAGAAGCCGTACATGATCCTGATGTTAACTGTAAGATCCTCCTGCACATCTGAAATAACCTTGCATTATTGATGCAACAGACCTCAGTGGAAATTACTTATTTTCTCCCTACTTTAAATTTAAAAATAATGGACTGATTGGACCAAGCAGCTGAAAGCACAGATAGGGCATCCAGAGTTTGTTTTGTGAATTATTAACACAGCTCAAAGTTAAAAATTTAGCTTTGCTTGGAAATCTACTCTCCCATTTAGCTTGACTGCTGTTTTCAGTTTACATTATTTCTTAGACACTGCTGTGAAACTTCCTCTTAATTGGAGGCTATTGTGGGACTTGAAGATTTTTGTTTATTTGAAAAATATAGTACGGCTGAATTACCAGGACCTATTAATATACATGTAGTAATGACATATAATCGCCCACAACTCCCTCGAGATGGCTCTGGCACAACAACCCCATTTCATTTTCATGAAATAAAAAGCATCCAATTACCTAAACAACCACCTATTTCACATTAACTACACACCAATAATCAGTCAATTGGGGGAATGATTTCTGTGGTACATCATGCCTCACATCCTCTTTGTCCTCTCTTTGTATACTTTTTTTCTTCACTGTGGGCTTTATTTGTAGGTGGGGATGGTAGATTTACATCTCTCCATAACTCCTTTGGTAAAACTGTTTGACATGTCTTCTATTTGTTCAACATGCTGTAAGCAATGTTGTTGCTTAGTATTATGCTGCATGAACTTGGGCCAGCAACCCAGCAGTACAGCCAGGCATATTTTTAAAGTGCTGCTGCATAGCAATAAACAGACCCTCATACATATATTTTTTCCAAAAATGCAAGAAGCCCCATCTGTACTGTAAACGCGTATGTACATTTTTCACTATAATGCAATCTGTCCAAAGTTATCCTTATTATGATTGTGGGACATTGTCTCAGGAGCAGGGTGGGCAGAGGCTTTCCAGGATAGGTTATGGATAACGTGCAGTACCCCACTGGGTTCCCTCCATTAATGCTCACTCCACAAAAAGAAGCCTCAGGCACTGGGTCACAAAATGTTCCAGCATCTCCCAGGAGGCCAGTACTGAAAGATAAAGGAAGGCAGAGGAAATGCCTATATAAAACGCAGACTTGGCATGAATACTTTCACATCCAACTCAGAGATATGGAGAGCTCAAATTTCCTTTCTTTTCTCTGAAGAAATCTCAATTTTTAGCCCTCAAAGAGCCAAAAGGGCATGTGTAGTTCCTCAAAGGTATGAACAGGTTCTCAGGCACAGCATGTGCTTCTGATTATTTCAGCAGCTGAAGAAGGCAGTATGCGGTGTGAACGAAAGGGAGCTTTTGATTACCCGATCTTTACCAGTGCCACATTCTGTCGAATGTTTTCAATGTAAAGATGCACATCTATTGATATCAGTGAAAGGACAGGAGAATCGGTGCAAGTAATGATCTTGGGCATCACTACAGAAACTCCTTTACCTCCCAAGTTTTCCCTGATGAGGCAACAAAGGAAAAGCAACTGCCAGAAATCTCCATCCGTCAGTAAAATATATGCCTAGATCAGGAAAATAAGGAGGTAGCTGCAGTCCTTCAACTTTACTACAATACTTCCAGCTCAGGAATATGTCCCTTGCAAGGTACTATTAAGGTCAACAAGTCAAAGCAACCCCAAATTGTTCCAGAAACATCAAAATTTTTCATTTTACCTACCTGCCACTGCACAAGGACAGATGAAGTCGTGTGCGGAGTCACTAACACAGAACTGGGTGGTTCACCTGGAACTAAACAAGATAAAGAAGGTCACCAAAGCTGTTACAGCAACAGGGTGGAAAACAGGCAGATTTTATTAATCAGATTCTCTTTCTTCACTGCTGAAGGAAATCTTCTATCCCACTATGTGGTAGGTCTCAAAAGCAATGCGGTGGATATGAATATTGCAATCCAGGCAGAAGGCAGCCACTTCTTGTACATCCCTTGCTCTACCCGTGGCCTTGGCAACTTCAGCAGGAATAAGAGAAAAGCTGAGGGCATAAATCTGGAGGAAGCTTCAGCATGCCAGTTGCTCAAACAACTGGATACACATTTAAAAGTTAAACCAGCTGCGTGCATGCTTGAAAGAATAAGCAAACTGCTCCCAAATTTTTCATTATATTTTTGCCACTGTTGGGGCAAGCCCACCTTGGTTTTAGGAGTCTGTGTCACATAGTCACAGATTATTTTAGTTAGAACAGCTTGATTTACCATGGGTTAACCCATTCCTGTGCCCATGGCCTTTAGCACATACACTATAGCAGCTCAAATACGAAGAAGGGAAGGCTTATCAGGAGCTGACAGCCCTCCACAGCGCAATGCTCTAGTGGCAGCACCAGGTTTGCTCAGCAGAATAAATGTTCAGTTTGTTAAGGAGGTGAGAAGCTTTCACAGTGTTTCCCCATTGTATTATGAGGAGGCCAAGCACAACTCTGGATTCAGTGTAGTTAAATTCAAAGAGAATTGAAAATAAAATTTTAAATTCTGAAACAGTGAGTCAGTGCTGCCTCATTAGTACCAGTTACAGCCTGCACCGATACAGCAGCTGCTGTTCAGGAAGGTGGAGAGTCAGGATGTCTTTAAAAGGCTGCTAGGCACATTATTCAAGTATTACATGGGTTCTTGTTTAACTTAGGACACTCCTGAGCTCTGTCCTCTGTTCTTCTGATTCCAAGATCACATTCTTTAAACGTTCCTTTGTAAAACCATTTCCTATTTTTATATCTCAATGTCATATTTAACCAGTCATTCCTTGAGCTGTATGAAAGACTGGCTAATTCCTAGCACCATATATATGTTCATATATACATTTACGTATCCCAGTATTACCCCATTTCCCAGACTAAGGGTAAATACTGATGTTTTTTCATAGTTTGCAGAGTTCTTTTCTCCATTCAAGACACCAGAGCTACTTCTGCATTCAGGCACTGACTTTATACAATCAAGGAATTAGAAGATGATCTCTAAGGCTAAAAATAAAAGCCTTGTCAATGTCATTCACAGTTTATTAGCCCTGATCTGCAGCATTAAATGCTCATGTTTCCAAGAGCTTCATACTCTTTCTTACTTATACCTCAGTAATTTTGCCATATTGCAGACTGATGTGGATTGTGAGTGAAAACAATTGAAGAAACTTCTTCAAATGTATGCATGGTTCTACATTTATTTTTAATGATCTCTTGTAAATTATTCAATTTCTGCAAAGATAATGGTTAGTGCAGAGTTTGGAAGCCAATCAAATGGAGTTTAATTCCATTTTGAGACTACTGAAAGTATGATTCATTATCAGAGGGCACAGCAGGACACTTAAACCTGCCTGTTATTAATTCAGCCACATCTCATTACTACCTGTATCAATCTCCTATGAACAAAACTGCATTAGATGTTGAATTTTCACTCCACAGTCCCACTGGAAAACATATAGGAGTGGGTCCAGCAAACCCAGGAGCACCAGGGAGTGCCCATCCCACGGCGATGACCCCAGCATGCCTCTCCTCCTCACTTACCATCCTGCAGAGTCGTGACCGCCTCAGTCTCCGCACTGAAGTCACTGTCTCCGATGTCATTGGTTGCTTTCACTCGCAGTTTGTAGGAGGTGAACGGGTTCAAGCTGTGGAATGTAAAGAATAAGGAATGAAATCTCCCCACATCATCACAACTTGCCTCAGAACAAAGCCTCTACAGAGAATCTGCCCATTGGTCACTGAGCAGTTTGTCTCTTCTCCACGTCGCCTTTTCTTTGCAGCCTCCCCCAGTTTCCTCATGACATGGGGGTGTTTGTACCTTTGCTGCCATCAGCATCTTCTCAGATTTCCGCTGGCCTGAAGTTCCTGAAAACACGCATGGATTTGTAGCTGAACTGGGCTCCAGAAAACAGCCATGAAGTTGGAGTTCATGGAGCAGCCTCCGATTGGGGTTTGTTGGAAAGGACAAGACATGCTGTTCTTTGAGTTTTGCATGGCTATGCAAAACCTGGCTTTCAGGGTGGTTTGCCTGAGATAGCCTCAAACCAGATCTGTGGGTCAGCTCATCCTCAGAGCACAGATGGGGCTGACAGGTAGACAGGAGGCAGGTAATGGCCCGGGGTCAGCCAGCGCGCAGCAGGCACTGGAATTCAGAGCGCACACCTTCTCACTAATCCTCTAGACCATACTGTTTGATCAGTGCATTTTATTCCTACCGAATTTCAAATTAATGCTATTACCTGGATTATTTAATAAAGACAGTAACAACAGGCTCCCTGCAGCTCTTTCATCTATGCAATGCTTTAAGATATGCAAAGAGTGATTTCCAGCTGACATAACCTTCGTAAAGATTCTTCTGTCTTGGCTTGGCAGGGGAAGGGGTGGAGAGGCTGCCTTTTGACTCACATGCAGAGGATAGGAAATGCAGAGCTGTAAGTTACAGGGGATTTAGCTAATTAATTGGTAGTGTCTAGCCATCAGCTGGCAGATGTAACACTGACTACAAACCCAAGTAAAGTTACTTGCAAGGAATGATTAAACATCAAGGGATAATGCATTCTGATGGGCAGCACTCTCACATCAAGCATGTACTTCTCATCTGGATGTTCACAGGAAAATGCTTTTAGCAAGGGGGAGAAGAAACCTTTTACAGTAGTGCCACCCTATTGGGACACCATTACTTACCTACAGCAACTTGAATAATTTGAATTATCTTTCTTGATCTTTTGCTTTCAGTAATGCCAATGTCAAGCCTAAATGACATAGCTGGTTTCCTTGATTTTACAGGTTTTGACTGGAAGGATACTGGCTATAATTCAGGGTGAGTATAACACCTCTGAGGTCAATGAACCAGGTCTATATTTGTACCCATAATTGTCAAGTTTTCTTTTTTCTTCACAGTTAGATGAAACTAGTACTGTATCTGTACCTTCTGGCACATGACCAGTGAGCTGCCATATACCAGAGCCACTGATGTTTTTATAACAGACCTGAAAAATCTGTATGTGAATGCTTTGCATACTTGATTCTCGAAAGCACACGGTCTTTTAGGAATAATCTGATTTGTACTAGCTCGTCAGCAAAGGAAATGGACAGCAAAACAAGTACCTTCTCATAGACATTCAATCGCTTTTACAGATGTTACAAGGACTTTAATTACCGCAGCATCGCTGAGGATATAATGAACCCTGAATAACAAAGTTTAAACATTCCGATGCTATCTATAAACTTCGGTATGGAAAATACAGATAAAAATGGTTCTCATTTCATCTGGAAGAGCTTATATAGAGATAATTGCAATGCAGCATTGAAAGTGGATTTTAACATCAGTCACTGCTGAAAGGATTTTTAACTAGTTGTATTTTACAGAGCATTGTGTAGCTACATATGGTTCAGCCTGAGCAGCATTATCTACGGTGCTGAGCTTTCAGGAAGGGCTTCAAAAAGAGGCACTGCCATCCAACTTTAATTAGATTTGTTGCATGACCTTCAGCAAAACTCTCAACTGCTGTTCATAACACCACCTCTAAAATGGGAGCAATGACCTCACTTAACCTGACCTCCCCCAAAAAGACTGTGAAGCTGAACAATGCTTGCTTTAGCTTCCTTTTGGAAGTGGAAAGTGTGGGATTTCTTATGCTAGCCTGGGATCATATGGTACCTTTCAATAATGCAGGATGTTGCCTCGTGGCTGATGGAAGAGGAGTAGGTCTGCCAGTCTCCATTTGGCAGTTCTCGCACTTGCACTGTAAAATATCGTATTGGTGAAGATCCATCACTTCCAGGGACCCACTTCAACAGCAGACTCCGTGACGACACATTGCTCTGGGGGGTCATCACCTGCCTGGGAGGTGCTGGTCGTTCTGCAATTAAACCATAATTTGGCACTGCTTTGAGAGGAAATTCAAGCTCACATAAAACCTGGCAGCCTGATCAGATTTTCATAGTAGTAATGCCACAGGAGAGTGAACTTTCAGATTTGCCCCATGAAGTATACAAGCCATTTCTTAACCTTTTACTGCAAAAAAGAACAGTAAAACTGATTCTTATATCCCTGCCTAAAAGGTCACCATTGAATATACACCCTCCGAGCAGCAGACCTCAGACTTGCGGGGTGGGGTGGTGGAGGTGTCTTAGCCTGGTGGATTCAGGAAGAACCATTAGAACCAACAGCCAAGCAAACCAAGGAAATCTTTAATGAAACTCAGGTATGCTCCTACCTGAGATTGCTCTTTTGACAGAATTTGCTTGTAAACTAGTTCACTTTTTAACTTGTGCTTACTAATTGGTACCACAGGACTATGTTCTCAACGTGCTATGTAGCATCCTCTTCCACCAGCTGTTTCCCAGCTGAGGCATGAAGAGGAAGGGATGAGCTGGAACAGGCTGTTGTGTACCAGACTTCCAGCCCATACTGAATTCCTGCACCAGGTCTCTCTGTCAAGGAACGGGGAACCATCAGCAGCTCCTGCTGCTGCTGCTGCTTCCGAACCCCGGCTTGGAGATGGCGCAGAGCTGGGGCTCGAGTACTTGCTGCAGTTCACTTCCAGACCTCCGCAATTCTTCCCTTCATATCCACTAACCTTGAACCTGCAAAGTCAAACCAGCCAGTGCCAACTCCGAGGGAGACGTCTCCAGAGTAATTAACCGTACACCTTTTAGATGAGGCAGGGAATGGTAATGCAAGTGTAAGCATGCCAATCCCCAACTGTTTCAATATAGATCTCCTTTCCCGTCACTGTGTCTCCGCACTCCATCGATTTCAATAGAGAAACTCTATAGAGTGAGGAATAATTGTTTAATTGTTTATCATGAAGATTATTGATTTTGATTAAAATGTGTGGCATGTAATAAAGCAGAAATTGATTGGAGACACCGCAGTGACTTGCTTTTGAGAAGCAATTCAATTCAACTTCATCAGCACTTGTTTCCATAAACACACCTCTGCCTGCCTGCTTCCTCACGGCTCTGTATGGCGAGCACTTCATTTCCCTGCCATTCCCTAAAACCATTTCCTGTATGTTTTGGCATTTCTCTGCAGCATGCTCTTGCTGACATCAGTGCCCAAAGATTTGTAAGCTATTAGCTGTAGGAAGCCCTCGGTGCCAGCAGCTTGTGAGCCGGAGTACAAAGCAAAAGGTCAATGCCTTACACTGACAGGCTGAGACAGGTATTCAGGGTTATTCTACCAGAGGAAGCGAGTGTCGTGCAGGGATTTAATACTCTCTGCTGATAAGCTTTAACCAGCTTGCAGTTTTGGGCAGGTCAGATCTTGCAGCCAGTCTCCCATGATCTGGTTTCCTTCTGCTGCTAATGGGAGATCTTAAAATAATGATTGTACAAAAACATTAGTATAAAGAGTTTATTTATGGGAGTTTAGCCACAAGAAAATGTTAAGGTGAGCTGCTTGTGCAGGTCATATGACTGAATGGACTACTTTTAATTTCTTGCATCTTTTGACTCAGTTCTGCCTGCATCACTGGTGTTGACTATCTAGAGGGTATCACACCACTATGTAGATTCAAAGCACTACAGAAGAACCACTGGACAATACAGCTACAACACAACTTGGGATCTGTGAATCATAGGTATCACTGTAAAATGTAAAATTTTATATTGGGATTATCCAAGAAATTTAACGAACAAGAGTGACCAATTTTGCCAATTTTCAAGGGAATATTTGTGCCTTGCTACCTTAATATCAAGGACATTCAATGCATTTTTATTAATGGAAATTAAATGTCTTTTCACTCTAGAATACTCACTGTCATTTATAGGAAGCTTCGGGTTGGTTGGATTGTTTATTTACTTGTTAGCCAAATAGCTGCACTGGATAAATTTCTTTATCATCCCCTCATATCAATCTTGCTGATGTGAGATTACACATTCTTCTCTCTACACTTTACATATGGGATCACTTCAGTAAACTCTCAGTGCCTTGGGACTTGGTTCCATAGCATGCATAGAGACACAGCAGAGACATCCATCAAAAAGAGAAAGGGTTCATTTTATACTATGACTTGCCTATTCAAGATAACCCTAAAGCATTGATAACAACGAGGGATCATTGTTCCTGCAGTGGAGCTGGGAGTTCTGCCTTGAGCTATTGTGTATCCAGCAACAGCTTGTGCACAGTCTGAGAAATCTGAGCACATTTTTTGAAAAGGAGAGGCTCTGAGCTTTGAGTATTCACATTATTGGGCATGGTGGGTTTTTTTAAAACTTCCATATGTTGGACTTTAAACTTCCACTTTGACAGCAATCAGACAGAGGTGGAAGGAACCCTGAACTGATAAATCTCTTTGATGGACAGTATCTTTAGTAGAGGCACTGTAAGTTTCCTAATACAGCTCCAGAGGTTCTTTCTCTAAGGACTGCACTGTTATGCACTGGGAAGGTTCCACATGACCTGGAGAGCTATGCCAGTGGGGATTTTAACACCAGCCAGACAGGCCAGAAGTAGTTGAAATGCACCCCACAGGTCCTCACTGCTGGTGGTTGAACATCAGGCCAATGTCCTCACTTCTTTGAAGTGTTATAGGAAAATAATAAGGGAGACATTGTGGGCAAATAGCAGGGGAAATCCTTACTTTTGCACTAAATGATTTGCAAGGTTTGGAAAGGACTTAAACCAAGAGATTGCTTCGTAGGCACATTTTAAGAACTGAAAGTAAATATAATTGGTTGTATTGTAGAGCAAGTCTTGGTCAAGAGCCAAGACCAGGCACAAAACCACATGCAAGTGATCACAAGTGCTAATAATAGTTGAAAGATGTCTATGGGGGTCTGCCCTAGTTAGCTGCTGAAGTGTGCTTCTCTCCAAACTGTGATTTTTAAAATCATAAAAGTTGCATGGTTCTAATTTTTGAGAGAAAAGTTTTCTTAAAGATCAATATCCAGACAGCACAAGGGGTCAAGAGCAGCACATGGCACAAAATCCAGTGATGCACAAGGGATTGATTGATGCTGGTGAAGTTACCCTGGCTAGTTTTGACTTTGCTAGCTCGAGAGACCAGATACATGCTTTGCAGTGGAACATGGCATATGGCACAAGACCAGAGGAAAACCCACGCTCCTGTTCTCTACCAATATATTCTCTTTTAGCTCTGAATTAAAATAAAATAAAAATCTTCACACGCAAGTAGAAAGTATAATTTTTCTGTCAGCTGTAGAGAGAAAGATCTGTTCTAAGACTGAAGAATTGAGCCAAACCATTAGAAATAAGCAGTGATGCAGACCAGATTCTGTAATACCTTATATGTCTTTCACATTTTGATACGTTTGGTATCTAAGCATCTGGTTTCATTCATACACATGTAACTCCTGCTTTATTCAAATAGGTTCCCTACAGAACAGAATTTGATTGGAGATTCAGAACGCACATAACCATTTTATGGCTGATGCAAGAAGCAGAAAAATTCTGGGCAATACAGATGCAAACACTCTGTTCCAGTGTGCAGGAGTGAAAGGCCAGAGTAATTACTCACACATTAGGTCAGGACTGAGGTACAATGGAGGAGCTGTAGAGAAATCCTGCAACAGCACCACCTCTCATTTTGTGTTCCCTAATCAATATAATTCATCCATCACTTACTTTCTTAAGATTGCAATCTTTCTAGAAACTGAGAGAGCTGAAAAAAAGATCTGACTGCAGAAGGAGGCTGTATATGGCCAATATAGCAGCTGATGGAAAAATCAATCTCCAACAGCCCGGCAGGTTAGAAGAACTGTGTCTCATAAAAGTCTGTCTTGCTCACCAGGTTTCTCAAATCACGATGTTGCTATGGTTTGGGGCAGGTTTATGGGGTGAGAAGGAGGAGGTGCACAGGCTGTAGCCTGTTGTTAAAATTCCCCTAAGTGTAACACAGGCTCCAAGGCATGCAACAGAAAGTGCCTCAACCTGTGGCTGCAAGCATTACCTCTTTTTTCTGTTGTGATCACTGTGGCTTCCAGAGGCTCCCCCCAGCCCTGTCTGGTCTTGGCAGATGTCCGAAAGATGTATGCTGACTCAGGGGTGAGATCTGTAGCAGTAAACTGCCTGACTGTCGAGCCAACCTCCACCGTCGTGAACTTGTTAGGGCTGCTGCTGGCCAGACGGTAGGCAATCTGATACCCTGAAATCACAGCATCAGCAACAGAGAGAAAAGGGTTAGGATTTTTTTCTGGCAGGGATAACAAAGCATCAAAACTATTAGTTTATCATAATTACTTGTTTATCTGAGACCAGAACAAAGCAATTTACTTCCTTTAGCGTTATAAAGCTCTGCTATATGGCAGCCCTCCCCCTAGTCAGGCTCTTACCTTACAGGGCAAATCAAACACAGTGGAGCACACAAGGGTCTGCTGAAGATTATGATTTGACTTTCCAGCCTTTACACCAACAAGATACGAAACCAGTTTAATCTTTTCTGAGCATACTAGTGCCTTTTTGGAAAGGCAAAGGAACAAACGGAGTCGGGGCAATTAATGTCGCCTGGTTGAGCTAGTTCAAGACAACTCTCTGTTTCAGCTTTCCATCCAAGCACACACGCTTACACATATGTGCGTGCACACACACTCACACGTGCATGTGTATGTACACGTGCTGTTCTGCCCTCTCAGTTTCAGCATTGTCTCAAACTCAAGGTTCTTCAGCTGCAGAGCAGCAGGATTGCCCAAACTGTGCAGCCTTTGCATTGCTCAAGTAAAGGCTTGCTCCTGCCTTTTGCACTTGCCTTTTTCTCAGCTCTCCCACCCCCTGCAAGTGTACAGAGAGTGCCAGAACTGCTAATAAAAGCATCCTTCTTCTGTCATTCAGCATTGCTGCCCTTGCCCACAGCCCAAGGTAGAAGCCTGCAAGCTGTGAGGTCCTGCTTCAACCATGCGGCACTTAATAATCAATTTTGTGGATGCCTGTAAGTGATAACCCCGTTCCAACCTGCCTGACAATGAGGAGTTCACAGTTTAGCCTGTATTATTAATGATCCAACTGTGCAAAGGAGGGCTTCCAGAGTTCTCACGCACCACTAGCAACAACTGTCCCCCAAAGAGGATCTGCCAAATGTTCAAACCCATTCTGTAAACCCAGCAATTGAATCAGGCTCTCACTTCTGGAGCTTGATGGTAACTTTCAGTCCAGCTGCTGACTTCCAAAATCAATTAATACCAGAACTGGTGTGGGCTTTTATTGCCCAGGCTGAATACAGTTGTATGATTAAACGCTTCATGGAGTTACACAGGGCAGAGGGCAGCCAACAAATCCAAATCAAACCAGCTGAAAACAAAACAATCATGACATGATTCTGCCAACTCTCTGCTCATCTTCTGAATGACAAAGGGGTCTGCAACACCTGAGACCATTTCTTTCTCTTAGAATTAATATCCCAGCTAGAGTTTGAACTCCCACCACGTTTTGGCTGTAACAAGAACAAGGGGAGCCAAACCTGGCGTGCTTCATTTGTGAAGGTCAGTGCATGAAAACTGAGGGTTTTATCTTACCTGTGGCTATTAGACAAAACCAATGACATTTATTTTCCACTGTGAATATGCAACAATTGCCACATGCCCGCTCACAGAAAAGGCAGAGTCCCTGCTCTCTCTTGAATGAATGCCATACTTGCGTGTGGCGCCCGCTGTCACGAGGAGTGGAATTTAATTGGGATACAGATGGTATTAGTTTTGGTGTGCTGACTCTCACAGTGCTGTTGACAATGCACCAGTATTTCCTTGTCTGTTTTTCTTTGGCAGCTGCCAGCAGATGTGGGGCAACAGCCACACTGTTGTGGGGCAGCTGCCACAGTGTTGGGGAACAAATTTGACTGCACCGACACCTCGAAGAGTGAGTTGGCTTTTCCAAGCCCCTGTGACTCCGAGCTCGAGCTCCCACTGGCTGTGGTTACAAACAGGTTTGGGTCCAGAGCTGATTCAATGAGGTGCCTTAATGTGCTCCAAGCACCCATATTTGAAAATGGACATCAGCAGCAAAAGGCTCCCAGCACCCGAGCGGGCTCAGCTCGTGCTGCCTGGGGTACCCCCGCACACTGCAGCAGTTGGTCTGTCAGGCACATTCCTACAGCAACATTTTCACAGCTGGGTGCATGGCATTAGGCTAGTAGATAAAAAGTGGCCTGATTTTTCAGAGCTCCTGAGCAAAGTCTTAGGGTCTTACGCTTTGAACATTTCATTTTTCCACCTGCAAACTACCTCCTTTTATCCATGGCACCAGCTCTCCCATTACTGGTCCGATATAATTCACCAAAGTATTTCTGTATCTTTAGTACTATAGTATTTTGATCTTTTTTAAAGTCTACAGAAAGACAGCTAGCAATGGGGAGAAGGTATAGATACCTACGTTCTTTTTTTGTTTATACAGATGTGAAGAACACAAGAGTGAAAACACCAGTGCAGGATCTCAATAAGGGGGAAAAACAGTCAAAGAAAAGCACTGGGGAAATTTTTACAGCAGCAGGAAAGATGAAGGAAGAAGCAACTAAGATGGCTAAGAAAGTTTGATAAAGGGACATAAGACATAAAGAATAAGACCTGGAGGGAAACAGAATATTAAAAGAATAGAAAACTTGATTTATGTAGTTATTAAAAGATAAGTATGATATCTGGGATACATCCTTGTTGAGCAATTTCCTCGCTTTTCTAAACCTTTGTAAAATATAAAGTGTAGTTAAAATGTAAGGAGGGAATAGAAAGATAACTATTTACTGCTAAATGGTGGTACTTATGCTGGAAAGCCAATTACCAACATGCTCAGATTAGGCAAAGGAACATATCCATATCTAGGCCATTATTATAACTTACACAAGAGTGGTTCCTTGGCTAGTGTAAAAACTAATTTAGCCATGAGAAGGAAGAAATCACTTGTCACAATCTGTCTCTCTGACAGGCTCTGCAAACTCCCTTCCAATGCATCCCTGTAAAAAACAGTATCAGCTCTCACTGTCCTCTCCTACACCTGCCATGCTGGCTGACAGTCTGGGTAAATATCCATTTTCCTGGATATCTCAGGCAGAGTTTACACAACCAGAACCATCACCTTTACAGATTTCCTCAGAAACTCAACACTTACCTTGTTCTGATTCAAAGGTACATATCCAACCTCTGCACCTGAACTCTGCTCACTCTTACTGCTACCTACAAACCCAGAGAGACAGCCAGTATCTTAATTCTGATCCTCTACATCACCTTCTCCTATTGGACAGTTTGGGACAGCCAGGATACGTACTGGCATAAAAAGCATCTTTTTCTTTTTTTTCCTAAGAGACACAAAAGATGCAGTATTTAAACCACAGCTTGGGTAGTAATTAGGGCTAATACAAGATCAAAAAGATAAAATTATTAAGTTGATGAATTTCATCAACAAGGGATGGGAGAAGACAGGAAATGTTAAGTGAAATCAAACGAGGCAAATCAATAGAGGTAAATGGAAAGTGTTCAAAGAGAAATTAATGTATGCTCGAGGGCTGCAAGAGGCAATAACTGCAATTGCTGCAGTGGAGGAACAAGGAATCTTCCTTCCCTTACTGGATTATGACGATAAGATATTGAAGATATCTGAGATTTTTTAAAAAAACCCCAAAGGTTATGAATAAAAGTAAAATCTTTAAAAGATGATCAAAGCAAACTTTTTGGGGAAAGGAGTGTCTTCTAGAATAGGAAGTATCTGGGTGGTCATAAGAAGAATTTAAATTGTTTTCCTAATTCTTCTCTTTTTTTCCCCCCCCATATAGCATCAGATCCCAAATCTCTTCTGCTATTGGAAGTTCTGTGCTTCACCAGGCCAAAACAGCATAAAAAACCCCCCGAAAGATCAACTCTTCAGGAGTTTATTTATTCATTGAAACAAGGCTTATTTTTGCATTAGCATCTTCTTAAGTATTTATTGCACAACTGCAGTTTCATGAGCTATGCTTTCTGAACTCAATAAATGGCAACAATCTGAACTGCCTGTTAAATGTTAGGTCATTGTAACACAACCAGTGGATTCCCCAAAGCAAACAGGCAGGAAGATGACAACTCACCATGAATATAAAAAAGCTTTCAAGCTCATCACCATACAAAGCCCTTCAGAACTGACAGCACCCGTTCATGCAGGCCATGGTGAAGCAGAGACACAAACACTTATTAATTTGTCACAGAACTTAGGGAAAACCAAACGATATTGGGAGGTTACGGTTTGCCTATTGGAGCAGCAATCCAGTTTGTTGATTTTACTGCTTATCTGTTTAAGGGCCAGCGGGTGTGCAAATGCAGTCTAGGATCAAAATATGAATTTGCAAACATGGATTACATCCAATTTTGGTTCTAATTCTCAGTGGAGTTCTTACACTCTTTTGCAATAAGCTTCAGGTAATCGCTAAATACAAGGATACCATGAGGAATACTAACCAGGGCCTGGAAGGATGCAGGTTGAGCTCTTGTTTCCAGAGAAAGTTCATAGCTACAAATGCACATATGCACGTTAATGCATCATTTTTCTTTAATAGTATTTGAAGGAACTATGTTGGTTCCTTCAGTGCAGTAAAAAAGACAGAGTGAAACCTCATATTGTTAGCGTAACATTCCCAAAAGGAGAAATGGAAATACCTAGCAGTATTCTACAGTAAAATATTTAAACAAACAAGTGGTTTTCCCTCTTGCTGCCTGCCAGTATTTCATCCTGCTAATCTCTCTCTGAAATGCTAGAACATGTTTTGATATAGATTACAAAAATGTTAGCTGCAAAGGTGCTTGTATACTCAGAGGACAAAGCTAGCAGAGCAGGAACATTAGTTCAAAGGCTCTGAATATAAGTTGCTCTTGCAAAGCAAGTATTTCTTCTTTCCAAACCCATCAGTGAATAGAAGGGCACCACGCAAAATTATGTTAACTTATTTTTTCCAACAACTCTACTTCAGTGTACTTGACTGTGGGGGTTACAATGGTGTTTTGAAAGTTCATTGCAGTAATGAGATTTAAAATGTGTACAGGAAAACAATAAACTTGCAACCTTTACTTAGAATGCTATACTTTGGTTTTTATCTATTATTGAAGCACACCTCACTTCTTAGGAAAGATCATGGAAGTAACCCAGCATAAGTAATTTTTACTTTCTCTCTTTGACATTGGCAGCTAACTACTTCCTCCATGAACCTCAATATTTCTATTATCAAAAAAATAAAAGAGAGAGAATTGTTGAATAAAGACAATGGATTTCAAAAAGGTGGACTGGGGGAACTGTCATGTAACATCCCCCTGGCAAGAGATTCTAAGGGAAAAAGGAATCCAGGTTAGCCAACAGTTTTAAAAGCAACAAAAAAAGGTACAACTATCCAAATGCAGACAAAAGATGTTAAGAGGCCAATATGTTTGCATTCAGAGCTCACTAATGACCTGAAAATCAAAACTGAATTGGACAAAAAGTTGAAACAGGACAAATGTCTAAGGGAGTGTATAAATAGACAGCACAAGCACGTAGGGACAAAATCAGAATGGCTACAGTGCAAAGTGAGTTATAACTTAAAGGGCATCAAAGGCAATGAGAAAAATCTTATAAATACATTAGAAATCCAAGAGACAGGAGGAGGACAGGTCAACTAGTGGGAAGAAAAGATGAGCACAAGACAGGTGAGACAGAAAAGAATGGAAGGCTGATACCTCTCTTGCTTCATTTTCACACAAAAATGTTGATGCTGACTGGATACTTAAATTAACACTGACAACAATATAAGTAGGGACGTGGGCTAGAATAGAGAACAGGTTAACAAATGTTTAGTCAGGTTAGATGTAATCAAGTTAGAAAGGCCTGATGAAATTTGCCCTGCAGTGCTTATATAACTAGCTGGAGCCATCTCTGAACAATTAGTGATTGCCTTCAAGAACTTGTGGAGGACAGGTGACATCCCAGGATATTACAGAAGGGAAAAGAGAGTACCATATCTTTAAAAATGAGGAAAGATCAACCAGAGGAATTATGGACAAATCAAGCTAAAATTCAATACCCAAAAAGATCCTGGGAAAAATATGAGTCAACATATAAGATTCCATGAGGTTAATAACATGCCAGGGAACAGCCAATATGTATTTGTCTGGAACAAATAATAAATATCAGATAATCTATTTTCCATTTTGACGGTGTAACTGGCCAGGTGGGAAGAGCAGATATGATCCACATTGACTTTAAGTAAGGTTCTAATATGGTTGCATGCAGCCCATCAAAAGCAAACAAGAGAAACCAAATCTAAGAAAAATACTACACATTTTGACTTACACGTGTAAAAAAAACCTCATTAAAGGTTGTTATTAGTTTGCTAACAAACTGGGAGGACATATTAAGTAAACTCTTATGAGACCTCATGAATGAGTTTGGTTCTGTTCAGTATTAATGACCTGGCTGATGGAATTGCCATTCTACTTGCAAACTCCAAAAATGAAGCCAAATTATGAGTGACTGTGCACATATTAGTGAACAAGACTGATCTCGATAATGAAGAGAGGTGGTCTGGAATCAGTAAGATGAAATTCAATAAAGGAACCCGCAAATTATCATACTTACAAAGAAAAAGCTTAATGTACATATGAAAGAGGGACTGACTGTTCTGGAAGCGTACTGCAGGAAAAAGGGGGTCGTCTTCCTACATAGTTACTGCCATCAGTGTTGCAAAAAAGTCACGTCAGGACAGTATCAAGTATCCTGGGATGTGTTACTGGGAACGGACTGTGCAAGATATTGGAAACAACCGTCTACATGCTAAGTATGCCAAACATTCTTTAAGGGACACCTTTCCCTTTTCCTTCCAACCCTGCATTTAGTATGATTTTATCACTGACGTAGCAGCAATGAGCAACAACCAACTGAGAAGGGGATGCATTGCACAATGCACTCTGCAAAGACAAAATATAAGAGAGTTCCTACTCTACCAAGCTTGCAAATTCAGCAAATAAGGCTGACAAAGTGCAGCATCATGAGACATTGGAACACAGTCAGGGGAGCAAAATCTCTTTTGTACTTTCTCATCATTTCTATTAAATGATTTTTTTTCTCCTTAACCACATCCTGTGATTCAAATCCCAATCTCTAGTGAAAGCAAGTTCTAGGACACACAGTTCCTTAAAAAAAGCAACAGATCAAACCCACAAGACAACCTGGAAGCCAAGCTTCCTTGAGCTGCAGAGAAGCCCTGCATGGATCCGTCTCTGACAGCTAACCACTGCCAAGCTTCACGCAGACTTTCTCGTGCTCAGAAAATCTCTGCAGCGTCTGCCTTTGGATCCTATTTGATAATTTCCCTGCATCTTCAGGCATCAGGATCACTTTGGGAAACTACACAGCTAAGCAAACACCTTGAGTTCTTGACTCAAGATATAAACACAATGCAAGACTGGTCCTTTATTTAAAGGGATGCCACCACCACAGTGGCATTTGCAGTAGGCACCCTCCACCCAACAATAAAGGCTTTAGGAAATATTGCTAAAAGACTACACACAGAGGTCTGAACGATGGCAGTGGCATTAGAAGCAGAAAGGCCTGGCAGACTGAGAACCAAAGAAAGCCCTAAAGCCTTTGCTTCTGTTTTCAGAATTGAGAGACAAACCTTTACTCACCAGCTAGAACTGCTGTAAAATGTGTTTAACATCAGCACAGAACACAAAACTGCTGGGTAGCTATTAGCTACCGCAATTCTAGTTGCAAGAATGGATTCTTACATTGTAAAAGTCTTCACGTTTTAAGTACAAGTAGTGGCTGGTGAACATATTGCAAAGGCAACCCAAGAGTTATTAGAGCAAGAAGGTAAGAAGGTTTTTCACAAATTCCTGTTGTGCCTTCCTTCCTCTATTTCCCGTGACAAAAAGCCAAATATGAGTTCGCTCCTTGTGACCTGTCAGACAGTATTATCCAAAGGAAGCAATAAAATGGAAGCACACGTGAAGCTGCAATGTCGGGCATGCCCAGCAAAGGCGAGTTAGGGGAAGGAGGGGAAAATCCAGCTCTTCTCTGCTGCAGCTCTACAGGCAGTTTGCCCTGCAACCAGCTAAACAGGTTACAAACCCAGATGCAGATGGGAAGAGAGATGACAATTCAAACACAGTGCCACGAATGACGTGTAATTCTGGCTCAAGAAAGCACACACCACGGAGCCGGGCAGACTTTTCCTTCTCACCACAGGGTACCGCGTCTCTCAGTTGACACCGACATATTTTCTTTTCTTCAGCCACAGATTTGCTTATGTGTGGTTTCTAATCTGATGTGCAAGGGGAAGGAAAACCCAACAGCCGGAGCTTGCTCTGGTCTCCAACCCTCTCATCCCAGCCCTGGGTTTGTTGCTCTGCCTTACCCAGAATAATTCCATTGGGTTCCTCTGGCGGTTGCCAAACAATCCGTACGGACGTCAGCCTCACCTCGGGGAACACCAGCCTCACGGGTGGCCCAGGGGCTGGAAAGAAAAACAGAGATCATGCCAGCAAGCATTACGTGTCAGAGGAATTACAAGTTTTCTGCTCATCTTGCACAGAAGGTAGCCCAAGCCCTATCTCACCAATAGTAAGTAGATTGTCAGAAGCACCTGCGTACATACATAATATACATTTATTCTGAGGAATCCTGTTCGTGGTCAAATGCCTCCAGCACCCACGGACACCAAACATGACACAGAACCAGTGCACCCTACAGTGTTTTACCACACCTGTGAAACGCTTTTAGCAGGATGCTCTGACAAAGTAGCTTGGAGCTCTGTGAGACCTTCCAGCAGCGCAGCCGGACGCATCACCGCTCTGTAACTGATTACAGACTACAAAGCGAGTCACCAAGCTGACTTTACAGAGTTATGTGTCAGCTTAATTCCCTTCATACCTGTTGGAATTGAATAGTATCTCCTCTCTGTGTCACCAGCACCAGCTTTGAACTGCCTTCTGATTTTACATGTGCATTTTAAACACTGAGGTCTGAGCAGGAGAACCTGAGGCAGGTGAGATGCACATTAATACAGATGGCTGGTGGCTGCACTGACCATCCCAGGTTCACAAGGTGAGGAGATGCTAATTCATACATTAGCATCTGCAAAATTTCCCCTTCAGCACAAATTCCACCTGCATTGCCCCTGATGATACTTTTAATTAAGTTGAGCCCAGAGGAGACACAACATATTTATGTCAGGGGTATGGAGATGGAAGAACAATTTGTATCATTTGCCAACATGCACTTAAGGAGGGAACTGCTATAATGGGGTTATCTAAAACAAACAGTTTTAAATATTTCTCATTATAGTCTGATATGTACATTTCAGTGAGTGCTTTTTCTCTCCCTGCAGAGTTCTACTAACAAATTTATCTCTGTTTTCTTTCAAAGAAAAGCCAAGTCCCCGCACAGGCAGTATGCTGAGAAAATGGCTTAAAAAATGTCAGGGATCTGCTGTCCCTATTCCTGTCTCCATTCCTGTCCCTGTATTCTCTTACTCCTTCCCTGCATTTGATAGAAAATGTCTTGTTGGGTTTTCTGTCTGAAATGTCTGAATGGGTTTTCAGCCAAACCAGATCACCTTAATAAAGTTGCTTGTAGAAGCCAATGTTTATTTCATTACTATTGTGAAAATATTTTGATGAAAAAAGAGACACTTCTTTTGTGTTCCTCTTCATTGGGAACAATAAACAGAAGCCTCTCACACTGATATTAACCTTCATTTAAAGCCAAAAAGGTAATGAACTAAAAATAACTTTAGAATCTGCAAAGCCAAAAATATTTTAAAGAACTGAACCAAATTTTTGCAAAACTGTATCCGCAGGAATGGTCCCACCACAGTGATGTGTTCAAACAGCACAGGGGCGAGGGGCTTGCTTGGGCTCCTTCAACACATCAGACTGATGCAGGAGTCCCGGAGCTCATGGGAAGAACTGGAGGCAGTTACAAAGGTAAGTATGATCATCTTCCAGGGTTGATGCCTTATTCTTTCTGGGAAAAAAAAATGATAGTGGATTCCTGAAGCTGCAAATTCCATCTCTCTCCTTTCAATCCAATCAGACCCAGATTTATTGCTTTCAATTGCAGCACTTTTTTTTTTTTTTTTTTTTAATAGGAATTTATAATTGGGCTTTAAAAATTGTCTTCAATAGAAATTGTCTACACTGAGCTTCAGGGTATACTTTTTGAAGTTTTCCTCCTTTTCATCAGCTGCAGGGAAAGAAGAATACAGGGGACTCTGGTTTTCTCAGTTTTTGCCAAATCCTCAGCCTATGACCAATGGAATAGTGCTGAGTTATATTAGGCAGGGATCAAGTCCTTTAGGTTCAAAGTTGAAATTTTTTTTAAAATATCCAAATGGCTTTAGTTTGGGCTGTTGCCTACACCTGCATCACTAAAAGAAAACAGTGTTAAAAGGACAGATCAAATAAGATACTTATTTTGGTAACCTTTAAACTTACCGTCATCCTTGGTTCTTTCTATAACTGCAGGAGAGCTGGGGACTCCATCTCCGATACGCGTGAATGCCAGCACCTGAATCTCATAGAGAACATATTTCCGCAAGCCAGACAGCAGGAAAGACTGTGTGTGGTTACCTCTTACTATTTGGCTCTTTAGTTCGGAGTCTAAATCTTTTGTTTTGAAAAGTACCTGCAGGATAAATGTACATGAAACATATAGAGAAAAAGATTGTTACACGAGGAGTGAAAAGAGGGGTATGCGTTTTAGATTCCTCCTTTTCAAAAAATATAACATGAAATTATATTCACCAATTACCCCTTTCAAAATGCATTAAATGCATCAAAATGCATTAAAAAATAAATAAGCATGAAACTCCAGTTGCATACCTTGTAACCCAGGATGAGACCATTCTGCTCCGACTCGGGGACTGCGGTCCATGTCAGAAGGATCTGGGTTGAGCTCACGGCTTCAGCAGAGACATTCTCAGGAGGAGCAGAAGGAACTGGAATCACACGGCATTTCCAAAAAGAAGAAATACATAAGACATACCAGATCCATTTGCTCCATCTCCCTATCTGCTTGGGATTGTTCCAGGATCCCATAGAAGAGTACTCAAAACCAAAAGGGCTGGAATAGGTTCTAGACAATCCCTTCTTCTCTGGTATTCACTCAATATCTTCTTTATATTTCAGCCTGCTTCACAATTTCTTGCCAGTTCATCTCAGAAATCATGATGTTTGTAAAGAGCTAAACATTTAATACTAATGAGTGTCTACAGACAGTAAATACAGACAAACATGAATAAATTTCAAGCTCTCTATATTTGCAGTGATTGGAACCAAGATTAAATTGCTGGACTTCTGCAGAAGTCTATCTCCCAGTATTTCCTTCCCATACATTTTATTTCCCTACACCAAAAGCTAGAAATCTTTATGAATGGGAGTTTATCTTATGGCACGATCTGTTCTAACAAGAAGTTTTACGCCACCCTGGCTGCCTATATTATCTGAAAGGAAATTATAGCATCTTGTCTAGAGGTAGCAATAATTTCAACCACTGGATTGCACTCCCAGTTCAGTAAGAAGTTCCTTAACCTCTAAGCCTTTTTGATTATGTGATAGTGCTCAACATTTGCAATACATCAATTATAGACAGATACATTAACACAAGGTGTATTTTCAGGGACAGATACAGTGTAAATGAAAGATATGCCTATTTCATTTATGTTGCAAAATTGGCTCTTATGAAACTAGAAACATCATTAGAACTGATGGCACAGGAACACTGTAATTTTCTCTGACTTGAGAGAAGAGCAAACTTGCATTTTCTCATGCCATTAAAACTCTAACTGCTGCATAACAACCACACAACTGCAAGCTTTTGTAGGCAAGCTTAATAGCATGCCATGTTATGCAAGCAGAATTTGAGGCTATTTTTAAGAGTTCACATTTTATGTTGCCCTTTTGCATTTTTTTCCTGTGGCATTTCCAACATCTGAAGAGTACAATCTTTTCTAAAGCATGATACACCTGTCAGACCTCAAGAGAACATTTCACCAAGTTATGTTACACAAGCTCTTATGAACAGCAAGGCTTGATAAGGTCCTGAATATATCACAAAAAGGAACACAAATCTCTGCCAAGAGTAATGCTTTCCTGGATGTCCGAATGAAAGAACAGATCTGCTGTTCTGAAGGCGAGCTCCTGAAGCTCCTAGCAACATGAACAAAATAATGAGTATGACACCAGAATTAATATAAATTGAAAAAAAAAAAAAAAAAAAAAAA